ATAATTTTTTAGTTATCAATTGATTTAGGTGAATTGGTACCTAGGTAAGTTTTGCTACACAATTATATCGATCGATTAGTGGAGTGTGTGTGTATACGTGTCTTTTGTGTATGTATACGTGTATCCTTTCTACGTGTACAAGCGGGTGTGTGTGTGTGTGTGTGTATGTGTGTGTGGCCGCGCACGAGCATCCTCGATCTCGTGTGTTCGCGAAAAGTGCGTGGGTTGAGAAAATTTTTCGCCTAATATATATGCGCCGGTTCGCGTGCACACGCGCACGAATAACACCGGCGTGTCTTCTCATATACATATATATGTATATATATATAAATTTGTCCGCGATAAATACACGCGATATGCCCCATCGCGACTCGCGTTTCAATTTCTTTAATCTTCGCATGTGCCGTACACGATTATGCCGCTATCTCTCTCTTTCGCTCACTCCCTTTCTCTCCTACTCATTCTTTCTATCTTTCTCTCTCCTCTTTCTTACATTCTCCGATCTATTCTTATTCTTCTTCTCTCTCTCTCTCTTTCGCACGATTTACGAGAACGGTGACCCGTATGTAAAATTGCACTAACTAACTGTTCGCATTCGTCTTTTCGCCTATTTCTCCTTGTGTTCTTTGCTCTCTCTCCCCAGATGGCGTTCTCTTTCCAAGTCTCCCTCGTGTGATCTCCGTTCTCCGTTTCGCATTGATTTCAACTTTTGTCGAGTGCGTAAGAAAAAGGTCAATTGTGTCTATTTAGAATATTGCGATAGTAACGGATAGAAAAATTCAATGTATTTGCTCTATATCAACTAATTTATATGTATACAATTATATACCCCTAATGGTTGCCCTTTTAGCCGATCTCTTGCCCTTCCCCGGAAACCTTTACCGCGGGCGATACATTTGACGAGTCGTGGTCGAGGTCTTCTTGCTCTATCCTTCGCGGCTTTATTTGTCGCTCATTTTATCCGTTGTTTCTCTCACGTTTCGCCTCAACAGATCGACACAACTTTCGTCCCTGCCAATGTTTAATCGCTTATACCTGTCTCCCTTCTCTCTACTCCTCGCATTCCTTATTATCTTATTGGTTTTTCTTTTTTTCGCTACACGCGACTCCTGTCCACATTAAACGCACGTTTTCGCGGGTCGAATAACGTGTTTTTTTTTTTAGACGAAGGGACGGAGGGTCGTCGTTGAACGCGGCCGCTTCTTACTAGCCTTCGCACTTTATATATGATAACGCGGTTCTCCCCGCACGCGCGCGGTGCCTTAATAAACGCCGCCTAATCTCTAACACGGCGAGACAAGATATATACAAAAAAGAGTACCAAAAAAATAAATATATATGTGTATATATAGATGTGGAAATTACACTTCTTTTTTTTGTCCCTTCCTCGTTAGAGTCGCACGCGACGTGATTCGCGATCCGTTGGTCGTATAATCGCCTGTGTACGTGTGTGTGTGTGTGTGTGTGTGTGTATACCATGCCGTGTGTACATGCATGTTTATATATTGTGGATTGCACGAAGTCCGATACGTGTGCAGAAGAAGAGTATCGCGAGAGAGACTCGTCATGCGAGGTTAAACTATGTCTTCCGACTGCTGCTGCTGCTACGTACAGAATGTGGCTTTATTTTTGTCATCTACGAAGCGGAACACACAACGTTTGCATACTAATCTCAAGCACAACGCTTCCCAACCCCCGACCTTTGACCGTCTCGAGAAAGAGATACTGTCGACCAAATGACCCGGCTATTGTCGAAAGTATTGTGTGAGACTCTTTTGCATAACAAAAGTGTCACTCAAAGGTGACCAACATCCGGTATTTAAGCGCTAAACATGCTCGCTCTCTCCCTTTCTATTGCTTAGTTATCAAAAGTATCCTACGTTATGTACCAAAGATATCGTGGCCGGGATATTTTCGATTCTAATGACGTCGAATCGGTTCGGGAAGCTGTGTTTCGTGAGTAAAACGAGTCAAAAAAACCCCATCGATTAGATCTGCCCGGGTCACTGTCGAATTCGGCAAGAGGACGCGCGTAAGGAAGCGTCACGCTTAAAATTACAGAGATCCTCCGATTTGCCCAAGAGACTCCTTATACCGAAACCATCGAGAACATAATCTGCGATAAACACGGCGTCTCGATTGAGGTGAGAGCTTTCCTCGTTCGCTTTCATTCTTCCTCTATTTGAACTACGGCAATTGCGTTTGATTATATACACCCAGCGAAGAAGTTCGTTTATTTTCAAAGGGATTAAGAAACGTGCACACTCGCGATCGCGATTAATAAACGCCAGTTAATTGATTAATCTTGGTTAAAAGAGGAAGGTTCGGTATGTATGTACAGGGAGCGACAACATACGACTCTATATAATATACGAATCTATTAATAGTGTTCCACGCGAAACGCGACCATTCAAGACGCGCCGCGACACTTTCCAATCATCTATCGGACGTATGAAGAGAATAATTAGGTACGATCATTCTAGATATATCGCTGATTCAATTTCCCGTCTATGCGAATCACGATTTTTATATCGTTACTTTGGTTTCGAGAAACGATATCCCCTCCCCCCCTTCCATCCTAGAAAAGATCCGCGCGGTACGCTGCTCGTTTCCCGAGGAAGAGGAACGTACGGGCTCATAGACGTGGATATTCGATACGTTCCACTTATTATCGAACATTGTCGGAGAATCGCGCACGCATTTCGTGGATATTCGCGTTCGTTAATCGTTTCTCGTGAGTATCGCGCAGAGAGTGATCGTTTATTGCACATAAAGTAATAAAGTCAGAGTGTAAAATTTGTCCTATACACTCTCGCGCATTTTGTTCCTCTTTCTCCCCGAGCGAATAGCGGGCCGATTTTTTTTCTGTCTGTCTCCGATTCTCTCTCTTTGCGAGCGGACGCGCACGCGAGGCTCGCTTCATTTCCCGCGAAGGCTTGTTAAGGTTGCTCGCACCGGTTTTGGGAAAATATCGGCAGAGAATCCGACGCGGCTAGACTAGGCTAGACAGGCCCGGACAACACCCGAAGCATGCGCGCGCGCATCAAAAATTGAACTACATCAAACGGTTTCCGTTTACAACCCTTCTTCTGTCGTCTAAGTGACATTTTTTTTTCCCCTAAACCCTCGGTTTCCCCGTCATTTATGTTTCTTCTTCGCGTTTGTTTTCCTCTATACTATCTTTTTCTCACTTGAATAAGTTAATTAGTAAAAAATCATTTTCTTAAGTGCCTCCCTATGAGCGCGCGGTTACGTTATCCGCACGAAAAACGCATTACACAACGCACCTATGTAACATATTTTTAATAAGTTCTTAATAACTAGAGGAGACTGTGTGTGTGAGATACAGAGAATTACCTAATACACAGCGGTTTGAAGCGTGGTTTTTTTCATTATCGATTAACATCCAATGCGAACGATTCGCCTCTCTCGGTGTCGTCTCTATCCTCTCTCTATCATTCTCTTCCGCGTTTTTTACCATCGCTCGTCACCTACGCGTGTCCGTTTCCGATCTCGCGCTTGTCTCTCTTTCTCTCTGTCTCTTGCACTCTCACTCTCATTTTTTCGCATCCTCTTTCTCTCGCACTCATTCATTCTGACAACTCATTTTCGCGTCAGATAAGATATTCGCGATTCTTACGAACATTTGCTGAGAAAATACGGGTCTCGTTCACCGAAAAATTATTTGCCTTCGTCCACCCAGATTGGAAACCAAAAATTCCGCTAACCTGGGTAAATGATACAGGCAGGAACTCTTCCGTTTTTCTCTCAATATGCGGCAGTTAAACCCGGAAGAGACGATTCGCGGCGGAATGAGACGCACGAGGCGAATCCGAATCGCAATCACGCTGCTGGCACGATTTCGATAAATACTCGAGGAGGATCGAGCAACGATCGGTGCCGATGGCGCGAGGTGCGAGGACGGCGGCGGCCGCCCTCTCACTCACTATAGCTCGCTCCTCGAGAGACTCGCGGTAACTAAGATACTCGATCTCTCGGACAGAACCGGTGCATTTTACAGCGCAGACAGATAGGATTATACGTGTACGAGTAATTGATATACTGAGAATCCGTGTCCGTTCCTTTTTAAATCCTGTGTCTCGGCGTATATCTCTCTTCTTCTTCTTCCGGCTCGACGATATTGACTTGGCGTGGTTCCGATCGTTCTCTCTCACTCTTTGTTCCGACTGTCTTCCGCTGAATGCCCGACAAAGTTTGACCCGACGATGACATCGCTGCGGTCGTTCACGTCGGAAAATCATTACGTATGTGAGATCAAAGGTCGGAGCGACGCCGATAGCCTGCATCGACTGGCGGGCAGCAGCGGCTGGTTTCTTCCTCCAGTATAACCGGTATAACTTGAAGTAGTAGCACAGTGGAGTAATAGTAGTAGTAGTAGTAATTTGTAGTAGAATAGTAGTTGTGGTAGTAGTAGTAGTTATAGTAGTAGTAGTAGTAATAGTGGTAGTAGAGTAGTGGTAATACGTGACGATCGAGTGGTAATAGCGTAGTAGTAATAGCGGTTTTGAGGCTGTGTTCTTGTTGTATTTTATTAATTAAATAAAATTTATTTATTAATTTAATAAAATATTTATAGCTCAAAACTAGCAATAAATTCTTTTATTTAATTTGTTATGCAAAAATTATAATTTTAATTTTGAAGTGCATGACTGAAGAAGATAAAATGTGAAACTTGAATTTAACGAAGTTGCTCTTTGACTTTCATCATGTAGAAATCTTAAAACTTTAGCCTTGGATTAATCGAAAATTTGAGTCACGCTTTCACTTCGGGGAGGTGAGGGTTGGTTGGGGCACGTGAGGGGAGGGTGGGAAATATTGGTAGAGGTGGTAGTTAATTAGCTAGGGCTGCGAGATAATTAGGGACAACGCAGCTGGGGTTAACACCAGCGAAAAGGCACGGCTCGAGGCCGATCCGCGCCCTCCTTCACCAGCGGCTTGTGGAATTCCCGACCAGGGCGGGAGTGGATAGTTGCCCAGCAATGTTCGCAATAGTACTGAAAACAGAAAATATAATTAGACAGTCTGTTTTTTCTTGGTTTATATAAATTTTTTATTAATTAAATAA